TGAAAAACCAGTACGGCGTCGCGTTATTTCACAAATATTGGATTATTTATTAATAAAGTTTAGCCAGGTGGGAAATTAGCTTTAAAATGACTTATTTAAATAAAGTAGTTTTGATCAAATTGCTTTCGCAAACGCCTCTGGACATTTAGATTCAATCGTTTGTGCTTTTGCACTTACCCGGCGCTGGTGTCTTCCGATGAGCCGTCATTTCTTCGGACGTATTCCAAAATGACGATTTTGCACGAAGAACGGATGAACAGCATAAGACGTTTGATCGCGCTGAAATCTGCCTGTAAGCCGAGAAAAAATCTTTGTGTTTGCCTCACTTACTTCTTAATAATTGTCACGCTTTCACTACTGACCACTGATGCTTCAGAAATGACCACTGTGAAACGGTTGAGATCCCGAACAACGTTCACCTGTTAAACAGAGAAAGTGATTACGGCTGATAATGGCACATAAATTATTTACTCCTAATAGTGAGTCAGAGCTGATGTATGGAATATCAGATTATTCTGTAGATCAGATCTGTAATGGCGCTAAACTTTCGAGTTGAAAACTGTCATAATGACGCGAGGATCGATTGGCCAACCGGGATTTCTAGATAAAAAATTCTCATCGATAACTTATGTATGTAGTCTAAATATCTCGTCTCTGCGATAAACGGATTAAAGTGACATAGAACGTAATCATTCAATTTACATATCATCAAGTATTCCTGGATGACCTGGACTTGCGGGCATTCGTCGACAAATCACGCCTGGCTCAAAACCTTGTGTCGTCAGAGAACATCGAGTTTTGCTATCCGCTAGAAGGACTGACGATTGTCTTGGAAACCTTGGAAACTTCATACAAACGGGTCCTCCAATTTCCTCTGGCTGTTTTTTATTGTAGCCGTTTCTTCTAGCTTTTGAGGGATCTACGTCTAACTATAAGGTAGCAGTGACATTTGCGGCCTTTCTTGTTCAGGTTGAGGGGGGCTGCTTTCGTCTAGATATGAGAGTGTTATTTGGCATTGTGGCTTTCTGTCTGAGAGCAGAATCGAATCAGTCGATCTCGAACCCAACCACCACCCGGGGGTCTCACTGCTGCCTGTGTTGTACGCGACGACGGCTCACTGTCGCGGCTAACCTTCTTATCTGGAATACGTTCCTCTACCCGCCACCCGCGGGCGCACATGATGGCCAGCGGCTAAGCACACTCCCAAAGCATAAGGTGAAAGGAAACGCCTTACGATGTACCTCGTCGTTCACCTGACTTTTCCTCATTGCGAACGCGCAACGGAAACGCCAGTTCACGCTCTGTCAATCTTCTATCTACTTGAACGTTTTTTTCAAAGTGGTTCAGCAGTCCTTTCTGACTGCCATTTGTCGTGAACCATTGCCGGTATCTCTCCAACCGTTGCCTTTTACAGAAGTGGAGCATCTTATGAAGTTTCGGCCCCGGAAAGAGTCGCTGACGAGTGGTGGGTTGACGGGTACCACCATCGACCCAACCTACCGCAGCAAGATTATAGTGTACTGATTAATGCAAATGTGGTGGCGGCAAAGACACGGTTTATTAATGCTCAACACAAGCAATATGATCAATCTGAATGATTGACTGGTACTGGTGAATCATCTAGTTTAGCATATTGTTTGAATTTTGCTTTGCCGTATTAAATGCTGTTTTCATTATGATCAACAACGTAAGAACGAAATACTCGATTGATGGTAAATAGAAGGCATTTATCTTAATTCTGGAGCATTGTTTACAGTGCATTAAATGTTTTTGATGATGCTGATAAAGCAGTTAAGGGGATCCATTTAATGTCTACACATTGTGTCAGTGTGTATATTATAGTCCAGCTAATGTCTACGGTTTATATATATACTTTGGGGGGAAGGGGACGGAGAAGCAATTTAAGAAGGCCATGCACCCGTAATATATAGTCAACTGCAATGTAACAGCCATCGCTCATCATTGTGTTATGTTTTTCATCATTCTGATTGTTTCTAAAGCCTGTATTAATTTTAGGCTATTGCAAAACTACGAAAATATGATTTGGTATATCACAGCACAGGAATATACCATATTATATAAAATATGGAGCTGGTATGGTGAAGAATGTTCATACGCGTTTAACTGTACCTGAGCCAGAATTCAACATGCGTTGTTCCTCTACGCCATTTATTGTATATTAAGGATTCATTTGCGCGGGCCATGACCTTTCAGTATTTGCGGCGCTACATGGTTTGGGATTATTTCATTATAATAAACAATCATTTGCTCCTTGTCGATATTGTTTTGAGGAGTAGCCTCAGAATGGCTGTAGCAAAATATTAGGAGAATGGACTCACATGGCAAATTGCGGTACTAAGTGTGCAACTCCTCAGGAAAATGTCGGACATGAGTATCATATGATTTATTCACTGAAGAATTAATTAGTTTTCAACTGATTGTAGAGAGTAGCGTGTTTCCATTCACTAGAGATGAGGTATGTCTAGAGCTTAGATTTAAAGTAGCTGCTTCATCTATTTTTATTGCTTGGGGTCGTTCCTAAGACAACCTTTCATGCTTACCACAACAGGCGCTTCCGACGAAAGTGGCGGAGAAGATACTGGCTTGTCCGTAGCTCGGACACTGAACTCGTAGGTAACCGTTTCCAAGCCGGTCAGCTCTATCTTGTTCCTAATTTGGCCGGTCAACTCATCGATCATGAAGAATTGGCTGTCCGGGTGCACAGTTGGCAGACTGTATATTATCATGCCGTTTTGTCCCATGTCTTCATCTGTTGCCTAAAAAGTTTTGTTAGATTTTAGAATTTTTAAATTAATTTCTGGTATAAATTTTACAAATTTAAAATCGATGCGGTTATCTTTAAATTTTATATCACAGAAACAGAAATTGCTTTCAATATCACAAAACCTGCAAACCACCAGTCAGTCAGTCAGTCAGTCAGTCAGTCAGTCAGTCAGTCAGAAGTTAAGTAAGAAACTCAATCAGAAGTTATCCTTTCGAGGCAAGGAGTCAACAACATCAGACAGCGATTCCAACGTTCCTGATCTTGTGCTGACATTTCAGTTTCGGCAAAGGATGGTCTGAATACGGAGAAGAATTCGTCGATACACCTGCGTCTACTTTTTTGGAGGACCTCGCGCTCTCTGTTCATTTGAGCAAGTGATCGCTCGCTGTTTAGTTCTGATTTCCATTCTGAA